GTTGTTGTTGTTGTGGGCGTGGCCGGCCGTTGTAGTTGTCGTCGTCGTCGTTATCGGCGTCGTCGTCCGCGTCGTCACCGTCGCCGCCGCCGTCGTTGTCGACGTCGTCGTCGTCGTCGACCATCGTCGCCGACGTCGCCGACGTCGTGGGCGGCAATCGTGGTCGTCGTCGTCGTCATCGGCCGTCGTCGTCATCGGCCGTCGTCCGCCGTCGTCGTCGTCGTCGACCGTCGGCAGTCGTCGTCGTCGGCGGCGGAGTCGTCGTCGTCATCGCCGTCGTCGACGTCGTCGTCGTCGTTGGCGGCCGCAGTCGTCATCATTGTCGTCGGCGTCAACGTCGTCGTCGTCGTGGGCAGCCGTCGTCGTCGTCGGCATCGTCGTCGCCATCGTCGTCGTCGTCGCGGGCGTGGGCGGCCGTCGTAGTCGTGGTCGTCGTCGTCGTCGTCATCGGCGTCCTCGTCGTCACCGTCGCCGCCATCGTCGTTGTCGACGCCGTCGTCGTCGTCGTCGACCGTCGTCGCCGACGTCGTCGTCGTCGTGGGCGGCAATCGTCGTCGTCGTGATCGGCCGTCGTCGTCGGTCATCGGCCGTCGTCCGCCGTCGTCGTCGTCATTGTCGTCGTCGTCGTCGTCGACGGCGGGGTCGGCGTTGTCGTCGTCGTCGTCTTCTCGTCGTCGTCGTCGGCGGCGTCGTCGTACCCGTCGTGGGCGGCCGTCGTGGTCATCATGGTCGCTGGCGTCAACGTCGTCGTCGTCGTGGGCGGCCGTCGTCGTCATAGCTGTCGTCATCGCCATCGTCGTCGTTGTAGTGGGGGCGGCCGTCGTGGTCGCCGTCGTCGTCATCGGCGTCGTCGTCGTCGTCACCGCCGCCGCCGTCGTCGTTGTCGACGTCGTCGTCGTCGTCGTCGTCGACCGTCGTCGCCGACGTCGTCGTCGTGGGCGGCAATCGTCGTCGTCGTCGTCGGCAATCGTCGTCGTCATCGGCCGTCGTCCGCCGTCGTCGTCGTCGTCGTCGGCAGTCGTCGTCGACGGCGGGGTCGCCGTCGTCGTCGTCGTCGTCGTCGTCTTCTCGTCGTCGTCATCGGCGGTATCGTCGTCGTCATCGTTGGCGGCCGCCGTCATCATCATTGTCGTCGGCGTCAACGTCGTCGTCGTCGTGGGCAGCCGTCGTCGTCGTCGGCGTCGTCGTCGCCATCGTCGTCGTCGTCGTCGTGGGCGGCCGTCGTAGTCGTGGTCGTCGTCGTCGTAGTCGTCATCGGCGTCGTCGTCGTCACCGTCGCCGCCGCCGTCGTTGTCGACGTCGTCGCCGTCGTCGTCGACCGTCGTCGCCGACGTCGTCGTCGTCGTGGGAGCATCGTCGTCGTCGTCTTCGGCCGTCGTCGTCGTCATCGGCCGTCGCCCGCCGTCGTCGTCGTCGTCGGCAGTCCTCGTCATTGCCGTCGTCGACGTCGTCGTCGTCGTTGGCGGCCGCCGTCGTCATTGTTGTCGTTGGCGTCAACGTCGTCGTCGTCGTGGGCGGCCGTCGTCGTCGTCGGCGTCGTCGTCGCCATCGTCGTCGTCGTCGTGGGCGTGGGCGGCCGTCGTAGTTGTTGTCGTCGCCGTCGTCGTCGCCATCGGCGTCGTCGTCGTTACCGTCGCCGCCGCCGTCGTTGTCGACGACGTCGTCGTCGTCGTCGTCGACCGTCGTCGCCGACGTCGTCGTCGTCGTCGTGGGCGGCCGTCGTCGTCGTCGTCGTCATCGACCTTCGTCGTCGTCATCGGCCGTCGTCCGCCGTCGTCGTCGTCGTCGGCAGTCGGCAGTCGTCGTCGTGGTCGTCGTCGTCGTCGGCGGCGTCGTCGTCGTGAGCCGCCGTCGTCGACGTCGTCGTCGTCGTCGTTGGCGGCCGCCGTCGTCATCATTGTCGTCGGCGTCAACGTCGTCGTCGTCGTGGGCGGCCGTCGTCGTCGTCGGCGTCGTCGTCGCCATCGTCGTCGTCGTCGTCGTGGGCGTGGGCGGCCGTCGTAGTCGTGGTCGCCGTCGTCGTCGTCATCATTGGCGTCGTCGTCGTCGTCGTCACCGTCGCCGCCGCCGTCGTTGTCGACGTCGTCGTCGTCTTCGTCGTCGACCGTCGTCGCCGACATCGGCCGTCGTCCGCCGACGTCGTCGTCGGCAGTCGTCGTCGTCGTCGTTTCGGCGGCGTCGTCGTCGTCGTCATCGCCGTCGTCGACGTCGTCGTCGTCGCTGGCGGCCGCCGTCGTCATCACTGTCGTCAGCGTCAACGTCATCGTCGTCGTGGGCGGCCGTCGCCGTCGTCGGCGGCGTCGTCGCCATCGTCGTCGTCGTCGTGGGCGTGGGCGGCCGTCGTAGTCGTGGTCGTCGTCGTCGTCGTCGTCGTCATCGGCGTCGTTGTCGTCGTCACCGTCGCCGCCGTCGTCGTTGTCGACGTCGTCGTCGTCGTCGTCGTCGACCGTCGTCGCCGACGTCGTCGTCGTCGTGTGCGGCAATCGTCGTCGTCGTCGTCATCGGCCGTCGTCGTCGTCATCGGCCGTTGTCCACCGTCGCCGTCGTCGTCGTCGTCGGCAGTCGTCGTGGTCGTCGTCGTCGTCGGCGGCGTCGTCGTCGTCATCGCCGTCGTCGACGCCGTCGTCGTCGTTGGCGGCCGCCGTCGTCATCATTGTCGTCGGCGTCAGCGCCGTCGTCGTCGTGGACAGCCGTCGTCGTCGTCGGCGTCGTCGTCGTCATCGTCGTCGTCGAGGGCGTGGGCGGCCGTCGTAGTCGTGGTCGTCATCGTCGTCATCGGCGTCGTCGTCGTCGTCGTGGGCGGCAATCGTCGTCGTCGTCATCGGCCGTCGTCGTCGTCATCGGCCGTCGTCCGCCGTCGTCGTCGTCGTCGTTGTCGTTGTCGTCGTCGTCGGCAATCATCGTCGACGGCGGGGTCGCCGTCGTCGCCGTCGTCGTCTTCTCGTCATCGTCGTCGGCGGCGTCGTCGTACTCTTCGTGGGCGGACATCGCCGTCGTGGTCGTCATCGACAGCCGTCGTCGTCGTCGCCGTCGTCGTCGTCGTCGTCGCCGTCCTCCGTCGACGTCGTCGTCGTCGTTGCCTTCGTCGTCGTCGTCGTGACCGTCGTCGTCGTCGGCAATCGTCGTCGTCGTCGGCGTCGTCTCCGCCGTTCAGGTCGGCGTCGTCGTGTGCGGCCGTCGTCGTCGTCGTCGTGGGCGTCGTCGTCGTCGTCACCGTCGTCGTCGTCGTCGCCGTCGTCGTCGTGGGCGGCCGCCGTCGTCGTCGTTGACGTCAGCGTCGACGTCGTCGTCGTCGTCGTGGACGGCCGTCCTCGTCGTCGTCGTCGCCGTCGCCGTCATCGTCGTTGTCGGCGTCGTCGTCGTCGTCGTCGTCGGCGTTCTTCGTCGTCGTCGTCTTCGTGGGCGGCCGTCGTCGTCGTCGTCGTCGGCGTCGCCGCCGTCGTTGTTGTGGGCGGCCGTCGTCGTTGTCGTCGCCGTCGCTGACGCCTTCGGCCTTCGTCGTCGTCGTCGTTGCCGTCGTCGTCACCGACGTCGTCGTCGTCGTAGTCGTCGCCATCGTCGTCGTCGTCGTCGGCGTTGCCTCGACGTCGTCGACGTCGTCGTCGTAGGCGGTCGTCGTCGTCGTGGGCGGCCGTCGTCGTCGACAGCGGCGTTCGTCGTCGCCGTCGTCGTCGTGGGCGTTCGTCGTCGCCGGCAGTCGTCGTCGTCGTCGTCGGCGTCGTCAGCCGTCGCCGTCGTCGTCGTCGTCGTCGTCGGCGTCGTCAGCCGTCGCAGTTATCGTCGTCGTCGTCGTCGTCGTCATCGTCGTTGTCGTCGTCGTCGTGGGCGTCGTCGTCTTCGTCGTCGTCGTCTTCGCCGTTGCAGTGGGCGGCAGCAATCCAGACACGCCGCCGTCGTCGTCGTCGTCGTCGCTGTCGTCGTCGTCGCCGTCGTTGTCGTCATCGTCGTCTTCGCCGTCGTCACAGTCGTAGGAAGCCGTCGTCGTCGTCGTCGTCGTGGTCGGCAATCATCGTCGACGGCCGTCGTCGTCGACGCCGTCGTCGCCGTTGTCGTGGGCGGCCATTGTCGTCAGCCTCGTCGTAAGCTTATTCGTCGCCGTCGTCGTCGGTAACGACCCCGTCATCGTCGTCGTCGTGGGCGGTCGTCGACGTTGTCAGCCTATTCGAAGACGTCGTCGTCGTCGTGGGCGGCCGTCATCGTCGTCATCGTCGTCGTCGTCGTGGGCGGCCGTCATCGTCGTCGTCGCCGTCGTCGTGGGCTGTCGTCGTCGTCGTCGCCGTCGTCGTGGGTAGCCGTCGTCGTCGTCGTCGTCGTCGTCGTCGTCGTCGCCATCGTCATCGTGGGCGGCCGTCGTCGTCGTCTTCTCGTCGTCGTCGTCGTGGGCCACCGTCGTCGAAGTCGTGTTTGTCGTCATGGGCGGCCGTCGTCGTTGTCGTCGTCGTCGTCGTCGTCGCCGCCGTCGTCGTCGTCGTCGCCATCGTCGTCGTCGGCAGCATCATCGTCGTCGTCGGCAGCCGTCCGCCGTCGTCGTCGTCGTCGTGGGCGGCCGCCGTCGTCGTCGTCGTTGCCGTCACCGTCGGCGGCGTCGTCGCCGTCGTCGGCCACCGTCCGCCGTCGTCGTCGTCGTCGTCGTCGTCGTCGTCGTCGGCCGCCGTCGCCCGTCGTCGTCGTCGTCGGCGGTGGCGTCGTCGTCGTCGCCGTCGTCGTTGGCAGCCGTTGTCGTCGTCATCGTCGTCCTCTTCGTCCTCTTCGTCGTCGTCGTGGGCGGCCGTCGTCGTCGGCGTCGTCGTGGGTGGCCGTCGTCGTCGTCGTTGTCGTCGTCGCCATCGTCACCGTCGGCGGCGTCGTCGCCGTCGTCGTCTCGGGCGGCCGTCGTCGTCGTCGTCGTCGTCGTGGGCGGCCGTTGTCGTCGGCATCGTCAGCCGTCGTCGTCTTCGTCGTCGTCGTTGTCGTCGTGGGCGGCCGTCGTCGTCGTCGTCGTCGTCGTGGGCGGCCGTCTCCTCCGCGGGCGGCGCCACCCCCGGGAGGACCTTCTCGTCGGGGAGCGAGCCCTGCCTGCGCATCTTGTTCGCCACTCCGCCGAAGAGCAGGTGCCTGCGCTCCCCCCGTCGCTCCCCCAAAAATTGGAGCGAGCGGTTTTTGGCTGTTCTCGGCCTCCAGGGGCCTCGCTGGGCCTCGGGGCCGTCGAAAAACGACTCGGGACCGAAAACACACCCTAGGGAAAGGGAAATGGTCCAGACCTCTGGGGCCCACGCATTGGAGAAATTGGAGCAGCCGGATGTCCGGGGAGGAACTGGGAGGGAAAAGGGGGGGAGACGGGGAAAAGAAGGGGGGGGAGTGGGAGGGTGGGGGGGAAACGAGATGGGGGGACCGGGAGGGAAAAGAGGAGGAGAAGGGCAAGAAAGGGGGGGGAGGGGGAGAGGCCAGTGGATGGTGGAGCCCCTCATCGTTTTCATACGATGTTTATCGAGTGAAACGCTCTTTTACCCTTAAAATTTGATTGATGTTTGTCATTTTTCTTTTCGCCGTGATCCCCTCATACTAATCTTTTCTCGTTATATCGTTATCTAGTGTTCTCTCTCTCTCTATCGCTCTTTGTCTCTCTCTCTCTCTCTCTTTGTCTATCTCCTGCTCCAGGCCAATGCATGCCGATGCGATACAAATCCATTCCCAACCAACACCAATGCCAATGCAATGCCAATGGGGGAATCCTTTCGCTCGGTAGATTTCGATGAGAATACTTTGTGGGTGTTGTCATTACGAATCTTCCTTCGGAGGATTTCAATAGCAATGCTTATGTGTAGGGTTTCGATAGGGATCCTCATGTGGAGGACATGATTCGGAATCCTTCATATGGGAGGATCTAATCCGAATCGTTCTTGTGGAGGGTTTCAGTAGGAGTCCGTCTGCGGAAGGAGCCATTAGGACTCGCCAGCGCAATGCCAAAGCACTGCTAACGCACTGCCATCGCAATGCCAAACCAATGCCAATGCAATGCCACTGGGGGGAATTGTTTGTGGTAGATTTCAATAGCAATCCTTCTAAGAACCCTTCTTCGAGGGATTTCAATAGGAAACCTTCTATGGAGGGCTTCGCATGGAGCCCTTTTGTTGAGGATTTCACTTTGAATCCTTCCTGTGGGGGGGATTCAATAGGCATCCTTTTTGTGGGGGTGTTCAGTGGGAATCCTTCTGTGAAGTGTTTGAATAGGACTCGCCAGCGCAATGTCAACGCAATGCCAACGCACTGCTAACGCACTGCCATCGCAATGGCAAATCAATGCCAAGGCGATCTCAATTCAATGCTAACGCAATGCGAATGGGGGGTATCCTTTGTGGTAGATTCCAAAAAGATCCTACCTGTGGAGGGTTTCGATTGGAATCCTTCCGTGGGGAGGTCAGTATGAATGTTTTATGTGGGGAGCTTTCAAAAGGATCCCTTCTTGTGGAAGGTAAGGAATCCTTCTATGGTGGGAGCCATTCGAACTCGCCAGCGCAATGCCGAAGCGGTGCCAACGCATTGCCAAACCAATGCCAATGCAATGCCACGGGGGGGAATTGTTTGTGGTAGATTTCAATAGCAATTCTTCTAAGAGCCCTTCTTCGGGGGATTTCAATAGGAAACCTTCTATGGAGGGCTTCGCATGGAACCCTTCTGTTGAGGATTTCAATGTGAATCCATCTTGTGGGGGGGATTCAATAGGTACCCTTTTTGTGGGGGTGTGCAATAAGAGTCCTTCTGTGAAGTGTTCGAGTAGGACTCGCCAGCGCAATGTCAACGCAATGCCAACGCACTGCTAATGCACTGCCATCGCAATGCAATGCCAATGCCAAACCGGTGCCAATGCAATGTTAATACGATGCCAAACCGTTGCCAATCCAATGCCAATGCAATGCCGATGGCGGGGCTCCTGTCTTCCAACAGATTTCACTAAGAATCCTTATGTGAATGATTTTGTTACGAATCCTTCTTCGGAGGATGTCGATCGGAATCCTCCCGTGGAGGTTTTCGATTGGAATCTTTCTGTGGGGGGTTTCACTTTGAATCCTTCATGTAGGGGCTTTCGGGCTTTCAAACGGATCCCTTCTTGCGCAAGGTTTTCATAGGAATCCTTCCTGGGGGGAGGCATTTGAACTCGCCAGCGCAATGCCAACGCAATACCAACGCAATGCTAAACCAATGCCAACGCGATCCCAATTCAATGCCGATGCAGTGCCAATGGGGGAAATCGTTTGTGGTCGGGTTCAAGAGGAATCCTTCTATGGAGGACTTCGAATGGAATCTTTCCGTGAGGGAGTTCAATGTGAACACGTCTTGTGGGATGCTTCAATCGGAATCCTTCTTGTGGGGGGTTCAAACAGGAATCATTCTGCGAAGGGAGGTGTTGGAACTCGCCAGCGCAATGCCAGCGCAATGCCAATGCAGTGCCAACGCAATGCCATACCAGTGCCAAACCGATCCCAACCCAATGCCAATGCACTGCCAATGGGGGAAATCCTTTGTGGTAGATTTCAATAGGAATCCTTCTGCGGAGGGCTTCGCATGGAATCCTTCTGTGGAGGGTGTCAATATGAACCGTTTTTTGGTGGAGGGTTTCAATCGGAGTCCTTCTTGTAGAAGGTTTCGATCGGAGTCCTTCTGTGGAGGGTTTCATTAGGACTCGCCAGCGCAATGCTTGCGAAATGCAAGCACACTAGCAACGCACTGCCAAGCGCAATGCCAACGCAATGCCAATGCGATGCCAAACAATTGCCAAACCAATGTCAATGCAATGCCAACGGGGGGTTCTTCCTTTCGAAGCATCTCAATATCAATCCTTCTGCGGGTGATTTCAATAGGAATCCATATGTGGAGGATTTCAGCAGGAATCATTCAGTGGAGGATTTCGATCGGAATCCTTCTGTAGAGGATTTCACTATGAATCCTTCTTGTGGGGACGTTCAATAGGAATCCTTCTAGGGGTGGGGCAGATGAGGCCACGTCGCATTCCTTTTTTTTTCACGCCGCCGACCCCCCCCCCAGAAAAAAACAAAACAAAAACCAAACAAAAAATCTGGGGGGGGGGGAGACAAAAAAAGGAGGAGGAGGAGGAGGAGGAGGAGGAGGGGGAAGCGGCAGGAGAGGAGGACGCCACAGAGTACGCACACCACTGAAAGACGCAAGCGCGAACTCAGTGTGAAAGCCTCGAGCCCGCACCCTGGAACCCCGAGGGGCTCCACAATCCCCCGTTCTCGAGAGGGAGGGGGGGGGGCTAGGAGGGAAAACGGGGGGGAGAAGGGGAGGAGATGGAGGAAGAATAGAGAGACAAATCATATCGAGTATCGAGTTGGCTTAGGTGACATGATGGGCCGAGGTCCAGGAAGAACAGATGACACGACGACAGACAGACCGACAGACCGCGACCGACAGACCGACAAACAGACAAACAGACAGACAGACAGACAGACAGACAAACAAACAGCCAGACGGACGGACGGACGGACAGACAGACAGGGAGACACCGAACTACAGAGCCTCGCAGCGGAGCCCCCGGGGACAATCGGCGCAAGCGGCACCGCTCCAGTCCTGTCACCCCGAACCTTTGGCCCGTCGTTGAAGGAAACCGGGAGGAGGAGGAGGAGGAAGAGGAAGAGGAGGAGGAGGTGACGTGCTGGAAAAAAGGAACAGGGGGGCCATGATATCCGCACACCTCCGCGCAACAGGTCCGCGACGACCTGCGCGCCGGCTTCGGACACACCGTGCGGATCGCCCAGCTTCGACGAAGGCGGCCTCCCAGGGAGCGCAGATCCTTCAGCCACGGCCGTCGTCGCCGGCGTCGTCGTCGTCGGCCGGCTCTGGGCCTCTGGCGGCGCTCCGCCCCGGAAGGGCCGCGAAGGGACCGGCTGCCGCGGCGGCACGACGCGCAGCCTGCCGCCGTCCTCCCTCGGCGGTGAGCGAGGGCGAGGATGCGAGAGGCCCCCCCCCACGCTTTGTTGGTCTGCGGGTCGAGAGCGAGCCTCTTCCGGTTAAGAGCTAGGCGGGCCGCGCAAAGCACGAATTGGGGAGACAGGGCGCGGGCGGGCGGGGCCTCAGGCGGCCGGAGGGCGCGGGCCCCCCCCCCCCACTCCACCTGCGGACGGCCGATGCCCAACGGACCGCATGACTTCTCTCGGCGCCGACCGCCTGGCTCCTCGCGGTCTGGCGCCGAGGGGGCACAACTCGCGCGCGTCAGGAAGGCCTTTCTCCTCGGCAGGCTCGGAAGTCCACCAGCCCTCCGAGGAGTTTTCGGAGGGCACGTAAAACTTCGCAGAAGGCCCAAGGGCCTCTGAGAAGTCCCGTCGCTTCGTGGTCGATCGTTGTCGTTGTGATCGTTGTGATCGTTGTCGTTACCGTTATCGTCGTGGTCGTGATCGTTGTTTGATCGTCGTCGTTCTGATCGTGGTTATCGTGATCGCTGTTACCATTACCCTTATCGTTGTCGTTATCCCTCGCCGACGCCCCCGGGGGGGGCCGGGGCCCCCACCGGGGGAAAAACAGACATGATGGGCGTGTTTTCCACCGCCACCACAAGTTTGAGGGGGGGGTCCTCTTGCTCCTCCTCCTCCTCCTCCTCCTCCTCCTCTTCGTCCTCCTCCTCGCCCTCCTCCAACTCATGGTGGCGGCGGTGGAGAACAGGCTCATCAAGGATGAGGGAGGAGGGAGGAGGAGGAGGAGGAGGAGGAGGAGGAGGAGGAGGAGGAGGAGGAGGAGGAGGAGGAGGAGGAGGAGGAGGGAGGGAGGAGGGGGAGGAGGTGGAGTAAGACGCGGGGCGCCGTGCCCTCAAAACGAGGACCCATCACCATAGGATGATTGGGAAAAGAAGGCTCGGCGAACAGGTGTTTGGGGCCTGGGCCCCCCACTGGGGGAGCACAGATAGATTCCGTCGGCCCGCGTAGCGAGGCGGCGCGCTGCAAGACGCAAAGGTGGCCTTGGACGCCCCTCTCGAGGCCTCTTCGAGCGGGTCGCGGCCAGCTAGAGCGGCCAAGGCTTGATGGGCCTGTTTTCCACCACCACCACCATAAGTCTCCATTGCGGCGACGCTCGACAGCGATGCCACCCAAGAGGGAAGGACGGCACCCAATCAGCGTTGGGCGAGGCCGCGGCCGGGCGCCCCCCGAGCCGAATTGCCGACCCGCCACGTCGACCGACGCTGGCGGGTGGCGCGTCCGGGCGCCGGCCGAAGCACATGGGTACCATACCCGCCGCCGCGGTCCCAGGTGCTGAGGCCGACGCGCTGCCCCCGCGGGCCGGCGACGCCCAGCGGGCCCGCGAGACCCAATGCCAGGCAGGGACACGGACGCAGAACCGCAGCGCTCGAGGGAGCGGGCGTCGTAGCCCGCGAGCGAGAGAGCGCGACAGGGACCGGGCGAGACCGAGGCCGCGTAGGCCAAACGCTCGGCGTCGCTGGACGCCGAAGGAACTCCTGCCTCTTGCTCGTCGTCGCTGGACGACGCGGCGAAATGCGCTTCGGCGATGGCCTGGCTCTCCAACTTCTCGACGTCAAGATATCGCATCCACGCCTGCATCTGCCAGTCGCCGGCCTTCAGGATATCGGTCACACGACCGCCGAATGCGACGATGTCCTGAGCGTGGCCCCTTCTGAGCGAGTGGGTACCGTAGGCGTCGGCGTTGCCTGCGCCCACGTGACGCAGCGCTGCTCTGAGCGCGTGGCGGACGCTCCCGGCGCACCAGCCAGCCCACGGGGCGCCACCTGCGGGCCGAGAATTCAGTCACGCGCCCAAGGCGTGCACTGGGCACGTGGCGCGAGAACGATTGCAACAGCACTCGCGCACGATCGTCGACCGCCTCTCGCGATTCTTGCGTCTGGCGAGGGAAAAAACGGCGGTCTCCTCGTCAATGAACCGACAGGCGCGCAACTGCGAGGCGTCGGTCAGCGAGGCGGCACGCTGGATGATGAGCGCTTGGGATGGTAGACGAAGAAGGAACGCAAAGGACACAACGAAAAGCATGCCCAGGCCGCTTTCCGCTGGCAGCGCGCCCGGGCGTTCCAGCGGCCGCTCGAGCATAGCCAAGCGGATTGCCATACGTGGCCGCGCGGACCATCCTGAGCGCTTCTCGACGGCCAGCTTCGCCCCGGCCAGTGACGCGCACGCCAGCGCCGCGTCCGACGCCCGCGCGACGTGGCAGGCATTCTTGAGGTGAGAGAGATAATTGCAGAACGTTGCCCGACAGCGAAACGTTGTTGACCACAGAAGGAGGCCGTCAACTGACGGCGGAAGTTCGCTGCCCCTGCGCTGCAATACTTCCCTCGCGAACCTCACCCAGCATTCAAAGCTGCTGCTGAATTGCGGGATCGATCGAGGGCGCGACCCGAGCAGAGCGCTGATACGAGCCGCCTGCGCCCACGCCCGCCCCTCCGCGGGTGAGGCGATAGCGGCGCGCGCTCTCGCGATCTCGCTGCGAAGGTCGCCCATCTGGCGATCGAAGCCAGACCGCGCTGCCCGAATGGATTGGCGCACGCGCGCAACGGAATCCACTGCTTTGCTGCGGCTGCGCCGTCGTCGGGCCCGCAGCACGGCCGGCGGCGGTCCCGGAAGCGACGCGGGCCTCGGACCGCCCTGCGCGCGCGGCAACGAAACCGGCTGTTGCGCGCGGACCGCGGACAGGGCGAAACAACCGCGGCGACGCGCCGCGCGAGGTGGCCGGGGCCGCGCGCCCCGAGTGCTCGACGACGAAGACTCGGAGCTAGAGGACCCACCAGACGGGGAGCTGTCCCGGGCCGCGCGGCACCGGCAATCCCCGGCCCGGTGGCCTGGCGAACCGCCGCGCGCGACCGGCGTCGAGCCGACTCTGGGCGCACAACCGTCTTCTACCGCGCACGTGACACGGCCACAAACGGCCCAGTGACCTGCGACGCCGTCGCGGCGACGCCGGATGATACGCGGAAAAAAACGAGCGGGGCGCGGGAGGCCTTCCGCGATGAGAAAACGAAACCGCGACCGCGGACGCGTCCGCCGCACTATGGCGAACGGACACGCCGCGCGTCGCCCCAGAGGTCAACCAAAGCTGCGCTATGGCACCCAGAGGAGACACCCTGGGCGGACGCCCTACCCCCAGAGTGCCACTATGGGCAGGTCGGGCGCCACATGCATGACCGGGTGCTTGATATCCCGCCCCGCGGCCAGGCGGCAGAGTGGAGACGACACGACCGCGCGCGGAGGTGAGGAGAGCAGGAGAGGACCCCGACGCACGGCCGCGCGGCATGCGAGCAAGCCCGCGCGGGAGCCAGGCCCGCCCGACGGAACGGCGCGTGGCGGGTGGTCATGCAGCCGCCCGCCGTCGCGCTCTGCGACGCCGGCGGGACGCTTCCCCCGCTACTGTCGACTTATGACTTGCAATGACAAGTTACTACTGCCCCATAAGTTGGAGGGAGGAAAAAGGAGGAGAGGGGAAGAAGGAGGAGGAGGAGGAGGAAGAGGACCCCCTCCCCCTCCAATTTATGGTGGTGGTGGTGGCGGAAAACAAGCCCATCAAGAGCGGCCAGGGCTGGACCGAGGAGGGTTACCCATCCTCACAATGCGGGCTGACTGCTTGTTGTTCTTCTTTTCAAAATTTATACACTTCTCGACGTGTGCGCGTCATCCTTGCGCAGGGGCCATGCTAACCTTCCCTGTGTCGCTCCAAATTGAACGGATGATCCCCGAAAGGAATCCGTTAACATTGGAACGATACAGAGAAGATTAGCATGGACCATAATGCGGGTTGACTGTACCGACGTACCGCTGCTCCCCCGGGCCTCGCCTGGGGCGCGCACGGCCCAGCATGTCGAACCGACTCCGGCCGTGTCCACGTGGGCCTCCTGGGGGCCCAGAGCGACAACGAGGCGAGGCTGGCGGTATCGGCACCTCCTCCTCCCCAGACCCATGCTCCCCTCCTGATCTGCGCGTCGGAGCCACCCAGACATCCGAGATCTCGACGTTTTCAATACGAAGTCCCTGGATGTCCCGATCCTTCCCCAGGGCCAGCTTTTCATCCTGAGCCGCTGTGCCCAAGCGTCCCGTGGTGTTGGGTCCTCGTTTTGGATCCGCAGCGCCGCGCTCCACTCCTCCTCGCTCTTCCGCTGTCCCCTCCTCCATTCCGTGCTTCTGCCCTGGGCCGTCACGCCCATGTCGGCACACCCCTCGCACGTTTCGTGGCCCCACAAAAGGATCTAAGTGAAGCCCAAACGCCAGGGTTCGCATGGCGACGCCGCCTCATTTCGGCACACCCCTCGCACGTTGCGTGGCCCCCGAAGGAGCTCCAGCCAAGACCCAGCTGCCAAGATTCGCATGGCGGCGCCGCCTCTCCATCTCTGCAGACCTCCAAGACGCTCCGCGGCCCCATCGGGAGCTCCACCGAAGGCCCCAGGAAATCTTTCGTATGGCGACGCCGCCTCCAGCTTGGCACACGCGTCGCACGCTGCATGGCCCCATTGGGAACTCCACCGAAGGCCCCATCGGCGGCATCCGCATGGCGGCTCGACCTAAGTTCACACCCAAAGCTTCGCATCGCGTCGCCGCCTCCGTTCCGGCACGCCTCTCAGTTTTTTCGTGGACCCATAGGGAGCTCCGACGAAAAAACCCAAACGCCAAGGCTCGCATGGCGGCACCGCCCCATCCCGGTGCACTGCTCCAGCGGGCTCGCATAGCTGCACCGCCTCCATGTCGGCACACCCCTCACACGATTCGTGGCCCCCCTGAGGGGCTCAACCGACGGCGCCAGTGCCACCGCCCGCATGGCAGCACCTCTCAAACGTCATTAAGATTTTGCCGGCGTTTGACGCTTGGGCGCTTCTCGGACGATCCGCAGAAATCTGCGAGAACCTGTTCGGAAGAATCTGGCCTCCATTTTCGGCCCCATAGGGACACACCACGCTTTTCGGCCCCATAGGGAGCTCCCCTTCCTTCGTCCCACCTGCCTTCAGGCACTCACGCCTGCACGTGGCTGTGTCCCAGCGAGGGACCCAGGCCGAAAACCATGAACAACATCTGCATGGAATCTTTCAAGTTGGAAGTCTGGACCCCTCCCCTCCGGATCTGCGCATCCGAGCCCGTGTTGAGCGCGTGGAGGTTCGCGCCCTCGACCGCGTCGGGCCCGAAGCGCTCGGAGGTGGCGTCCGCGGCCCACCCACGCACGGCCGCCTCCAGCACGGCTCGCTCCCGCAACACGTCGTTTTCGAGCGCCCTCTCGCGGGGGGCCAGAATCAGTGGAGGTAAACGATTCAAAACAGAATGTGGGGTGGCGATTAAAACACTAGTTTCGCCAGCCCCGTGGCCTTCATAATAGCGGGCCAAAGAACTCGGCCCACAGAGGGCTAACAATTCGGGTTGACCCGCAGGCGGTCTGGGAAACCAGGGGAAGCCCGAAGGCTGACAATTCGGAGCGGCGGGGGTGGCTGCTCGGACTGGTCAGGGGCACCCCTCGCCCCTTGGCGAGGGCGTCTTGCAGCAGTCCTGGGGGGACAAAGTCCGACAGGCGATGACGACAACGAAGACGACGGCGAACTGTGGATGGCAAAAGCGGTGGGGGCGCTGCGTGGGCGTCCTGCAGTTTTGGGGCGACGACGGACGACGACGCAGGTGCCCCTTTGCGGCGGATGGCATATCGAGGTGGGGGGGGTGCTGCGTCGGCGGCTTGCAGTTCCGGGGGGGCGACGACGACGATGACAACGACGACGACGGCCCTTCGTCTTTGCGGATGGCATGTTGGGCGGGGCTGCGTAAGCGTCTTGCAGGCCCAGGTGGCGACGACGACGACGACGACGACGACGACGACGACGACGACGACGACGACTACGACGACGGACGACTTTTTGCTAGAAGCAGCTGCAAGGCTAGACTGCAGCCCACGAGGGACGACGACCAACCAGCAGGAAACGAGACCTCAAAGGGGGTCGAGAAACTCGGGCCGCTGACCCCACTCCTTCGTTCCACGACGACGAGGCAGCAGCTCCCGCACTCCCATGACGGCGGTGTATTGGGCTTCCGTGAGCGAGAAGCGCCCCAACCAAACGCACTCGCACTCCAGGGTCAGAAGCTTCGGGGTACCCTCCGCGTACCTCCCGCACCCGCAGAGAACAAAGCCACCCTTCCGCCACAAAACACGAGACCCGTGCAAAACGTGGCCCCTCCACCCCAGGCCCTCGAGACGCACCGGGGAATCAGGCCATCCTTTCAACCGAAAGTGCTGCTCGTAGAAAGGCGGCAAGGATTCAAACCCTCGAGGAAGGCGAATCGCCACGCGAGCAGGGGACATAGGCAGGGAGGCAAGGGTGCTCGAAAGGGCTGGAACGACGGCGACGACGACGACGACGAAGACTGACGACCACGACCACGACGCGGCCTGCAGTCCTAGGGCGACGCCGGACGACAACGACGGTCGACAGCAACAACGACGACGACAACGACGACGACGACGGCGACGACGAGGACGACGACGACGACGACGGAATGACACCCGATGGGATGACGACGGCCAACTCGACACCCAAACAAATGCGGCGGGGGGGCGATCAAAGAAACCGTTTCACCATTCATGATTCCCTACCTAGGCTCTGCCTAGAAGGGTTCTTACCGTGTTGGCTTAAAGGGCCGGGCAGTGTTCCACGCCCAGGGCGGTTCCCCCAGGATCCGCCCCGCGGTTCCCCCAGTGACGTTCCCTTAGCTTAGCGTTGCTTATCTCATCTTAGCTTAGCTTATTTCATCTTAGCTTAGCTTAGCTTCATCTCAGCTCAGGTGTATCTTAGCTTAGCTTACCTTCATCTTAGCTTCGGCGAGCGTTAGCATAGCAGAGCACAGCATAGCATAGCAGAGCACAGCACAGCGCAGCACAGCATATCATAGCAAAGCCCAGCATAGCACAGCATAGCGCAGCATAGCATAGTATAGCATAGCATAACATAGCGCAGCACATCACAGCACAGCATAGCACCGCGCAGCATAGCATTGCATAGCATAGCATAGCATAACAGAGCATAGCATAGCACAGCAGCAAAGCAAAGGCAACACAACAGCAGCGACAGCAAAGCAAAGCACAAGCAACGCAAAGCAAAGCATTAGCATGGGTGTAATTCCCTACCTAGATTCTGCATAGAGGGTTAGCTTAGCTTAGCCTAGCTTAGCATAGCGCAGCGCTGCATCCTCATAGCATAGCATATCATAACATAACCAAGCATATCATAGCACAGCATAGCATAGCATAGCGCAGCATAGCATAGCATAGCATAGCATATCATAACATATCATAGCATAGCATAGCACAGCATAGCATAGCGCAGCTTAGCATAGCATAGCCTAGCATAGCACAGCGCAGCATGGCATAGCATAGCTTATCATAGCATAGCATAGCATAGTGCAGCATAGCATAGCATAGCATAGCATAGCGCAGCATAGCATGGCATAGCATAGCATAACATAGCAACTAATGCTGCTTTCCTAGGGGCTCCAACTTCTAGGTAGGGTCGCTCTGGGGTAATTTGATTATTCTACCCCAGGCGTTGCAATTCCCAACCGTCCTGTGGTACAGCCGTCCCGTATCATAAGGCTGCGCGACAAGGATGCTATGGCCTTAGACGCCCATTTCGAAGCTTTTCGAGCGGGGCGCGGCCAACGAAAGTGGCCAAGGATGGACCGAGGAGGCAAGGATGCAAGGGTACCCTTGGGAAAGTTGCCCATCCTTACTATGCGGGTTGACTGTAATGGTCCCTGTGGACAGCGCCTCACGTCACCTCACTCCCGCCGTCCTCGCGCTCCTCACTCTACCCATCCCTCACTCTCCTCTGCACCTCCTCGTGGCCCCAAAGGGAGCTTCAACTAAGGCCCAAATGCCAGCGTTCGCACGGCGGCACCGCCTTCATTTCGGCACACCCCTCGAATGCTTCGCGGCCCCTATGGAGGTCCAACTAAGGGCAGAATGCTAGCGTTCGCATGGCGGCGGCGCCTTAACTCTTTCCAGTGCACCCTCACACGCTTCGTGGCACAAGAGGGGGTTCCGACCAAGACCCAAATCCGAAGGCTCGCATGGCGGCGCCGCCCAAATTTCTGCGCACCCCTCACGCGCCGCGTGGCCCCATATGGGAGCTCCACCGAAGGCCTCATTGGCAGCGTTCGCATCTGCTTCGGCACACCCCGAACACGCCTCGTGGCCCCATAGGGAGCTCCACTGAAAGCCGCAGTGGCGGCGTTCGCATGGCGGCGCCGCCTCCATGCCTGCACATCACGCACACGCTTCGTGGCCCCATCGGAAGCTGCACCAACGGCGCCGGCGCCAGCGCCCGCATGGCGCCGCCGCCACTTTTTGGCACACGCCTTACACGTGTTTGATCTCACAAGGGGCTCCCTTTCCTTCGCCCCACCTGCCTTGCGGCCCTCAAGCCTGCTTATGATGGTTTGGTTCCTCGCGAGGGTAGTCCTTTCACACCGGGTGCCGTCGCCCGCTTTGGGGCCCTGGGACCATCACAGATCGATGTGGCTCGAGCACAATGCCAGTGAAAGACTTGGTCTCAGGCTCCGTCTTGGTCGTGATATTTCGTGACATCGCAATTTGCCCGCAACGTCGGATTTCAGAGAAGGGGGGAGGATCGACGCTCTGGGCCCTTTGGGAGCCTCTGTGGACTCCCAAGACGAAGTTCGTGGAGGGAGGAGGAGGGGAGGACCGAGGTTCGACGATCAATATTTCAGAACGTTTTCCCCAATCCTCCTTGGAACGAGGTCCTTGTTTCGAACAAAACAGCTTAAGTCGGGCCTGTCCCCCTACAGGGGGATTTTGGACGAAACAAATACTCAAAAAATACGCCAAAATGGTTTTAACAAATACTGGAACATCGCCATATTATGTTTCTACTATTTTTGAATATTCCCCCTGTAGAGGGGCAAGCCCGACTTACCAAACAAAAAAAAACCTGTGCTATCTTCTGCTTCGCCTCACCCCGCCTCCTCTCCATGCTTCCCCGCCTCCTGTCCTTCCTGTCCTCTCGCGCTCGCCCCGAGGAGCTGCCGCCAAAAAACAGCTCAGGACGAAAAACCGGCCCTACGGAAGTGGCCCAAACCTCTGGGCCCCGCGCACCAAAATAATTGGAGCGGCTGATATGGGAACATCCTGACTAGACCTCGTTACCCCCCCCTGGGCTGCTTCCTGCGCAGCTATCGCCGCACTCGTAGGTTCCTGCGAGCTCCAGCGGAGGGCACAGCTCCCTGGAAAGATATCACTTTCGCAACTGTCGCCGCTCTCGCAGCCTCCTGGGAGGTCCCGTGACGTCCTACACACATCCAACCTGAACCTCACGGCCCCCTGGAGGGCTGCCACCTGCGTCACTGTCGCCACTTTCGCGGCCAGTGCCATGACGCCGGCCGATTCTGGTGGAATCGGGGGGAATTTTGGCAAAATCGGCCGATGCGATGGCGCCGGGGCCTCCTGGGGCCTCTCGGCACGCGAAATTGCACCGTTTGCGCACAATCGACCGTGCTGAGCAGAGTGCCTGCGGAAATCCAAGACCGCCCGAGATGAACGGCCGCACGCGGACGGTGCAAGATGGAACAAGGAATATTGCGCGCAAGCGGCGCACGTAAACGGCGCAAACTTGAAGGCCGCACGTAAAAAGAACGCAACTAGGCACGCAATCGATGATTGTGTTGCACTGGCTGCACGCAACCCCTCGTCGTGCACAGGTGTACCATTTGCGGCCAAGAAAACCAAAAACGGCCCAGGATGAATGGCCGCACGTAAACGGTGCAATATGGAACGCGGAGGGTTGCACCTAAACGGCGCAAACTCGAAGGCTGCGCGTGAACGCCCAAGACCGCCCAAGATGAACATTTGCGCGGAGACGGCGCAAGATTGAACAAATAATATTGGATGTCAGCGGCGCACGTACACGGTGCAAACTTGAAGGCTGCACGTAAACAGAAAGAAACCAAGCGCGCAATCGACGATTGTGTTGCACCGGCTGCGCGCAACCCCTCGTTGGTACGATTGTGCCGTTTGCGACCCAGAAAGCCCAAAATGGCCCAGGATGAACGGCTGCGCGTACGCGGCGCAAGATGGAACGCGGAGGGTTGCTAGTGAATTGCGCGCGAACAGGATGTGACCGGGCACACTTTCGATGATTGCGTTGTTGCGGCTATGCGCAACCGTTCGGCTTCCACGATTATCGTTTACGCGCGATCGACCGCGGTTGGGCGCGGTGC